CTTGTCCGAAGGGCTCCAGAGCTGGCCGCAGGGCTCCAGGTGAGGTCTCCCCAGAGCAGAGCAGAGGGGCAGAATCCCCCCCCTCGACGCTGGCCACGCTTCTCCTGATGCAGCCCGGGGTAGGGTTGGCTTCTGGGCTGCCAGCGCCCATGGCTGGCTCATGTCCTGCTTTTCATCCACCAGCACCCCCAAGTCCCTCTGGGCAGGGCTGCTCTCCATCCTTTCTTCCCCCAGCCTGTATGGATACCGGGGGGTACCCCGACCCAGGTGCAGGACCTTGCACTTGGCCTTGTTGAACCTCATGCGGTTCACACAGCCCCACCTCTCCAGCCTGTCTAGGTCCAGGCTTCTCCTGGAGGCGTTGAAGGAGATCATCTCATTCCTTCTGATTGCAATGAAAGGTGGCCCAGACTGGTGGGAGACTGGCAAGGAAAGAAGATGTAGAGGGAGGAGGCCGCTCTTGCTTCGTTTCCTTTGGGAACACAGCTACGTGACGTATTTCCAAGTTCATTTTACAGGGACAGTAAAAGCCCATCAGCTTTTGCTTGGTTTTGGAAGAGCTCTGTTTCACAGCTCTCATGTGTTGGTCTGCCTGGAGATGGGGTGGACTGGACAGGGAGTCCATTCATTACAGGTTTTTGGCTTGTGGCGTTTTAACTCTTTATTCATTTACTCCACCCACAAATCACCCAGAGCAAAAGATATGGTGACTCCCAAGACCTAAGAAAGCCACTGAATGCCATTTTCTATTCCTCTGCTTCAGGCACCCTTTGTATCTGTTGATTTTCCCCTTCGTACTCAGCGTTGCTGCCCCTGCTTCTCCCCATTTTGCCCTCGTTGCGCAAAGGGGCTGATAAATTTGTGCGAGGTGGGTAGACTCTCTAATGCCATGTGACGATCTCCAGGGTGGGTGCTGCTGAGCTGAGAGCGAATAAATTATTTTAGAATTAGGCTGACTAGATAGAGTCAGAGAATGAAAGAGAAAGAAATGAGAAAAAGTTTTTTTTTTTCTTGGCCTGTGGAATATGTGGCTTGGTCTAGCGAACACACAATATATCTGCCTGCAAATTGAAATTCAGTACCTTGTATCTACTCTCTACTCTGGAGTTTCTTTCAGGGCCAGTCACGATATTCCGTAATCGTTTTGGCTTCTCTTCTGCATACTGGGGTACCAGGGTGAAACTGAGACCTCTCCAGGAAAAATCAGAACACTTAGTAATGCTAAAATTGTCTGGTTTTCATCATTCCCGCTATGCTACTTACTAACTCTTACGCTACTTGGTCTTGTTCCTCACTGCCACGCCGGCAGCGCTCTGGCATAGCTGTCCTCAGCCCCGCACATGCCCGAGTGAACCCGCCTTTGGGACATGCTCTGTGTCACCAGCAGGTCTAATGGCTCGATCTACATTTCTAATGCACGTTGGTTACTCCCTGGTTGGTTTTGCTCGTGCAGAGGTGGTGAAACCCTGCCAGAAAGCTTTAGCTTGTTCGGGTGGCGCCAGGCTCGATGCCCTTGGTGACTGAAGTCCTCTCAGGGGTCCCCTGGGGAAGTGGCAGCCTGTCTGAGGGCAAAGTAAGTTTGTTCACCTCTTCTTCTCTAGCCCTGGGTTGGAGGAGAATGATCCCTCTCAGATACAGGGCTCCTCGCTAAGACTTCTCCTGTCAAATAAGGAGACAGACCCTGCCATCCTACCTGTATCACGTATGCGACAATATGAAGGTAAATATGGGGTGGCTACAACCCTGGGCCATGTCTTGCTTCCCACATAGCCAGCTATCCCTGATGCCTGCAGACACGGCCCCAACCCCCTGGCTCACCAGTCCTACCAGGGCAGATGCCGGCCCTGCCGAGCCAGCCATAGCAATTGGCGTGAGGGTGTCAGATCACTCCTGTTGGTGCCAGCAAGAGGACATCACCCAGCCCAAGCCTCTTCTAGCAGCTCCAGCTCCATCGTGGAGCAAACCAAAGCTCTGTCACTGTGAAAAGAAGCTGTATAAAATCTCGACATTTATTTATTTTTTTAATAACCCTTTTATTACCTTTCTCCCCCCTCTACAGAACTTGAAAGCTGGTTTACTCTCACAATTTGACTATAAAATATCCATAGCCATCCAGGCAAATCTTCCCTGGGAGAGTTCCCAGACACTACTCGTTTATAATAGATATGACGAAAGAGAGAAACAGAATACAAATGGAGTGTTTGTAGCCATGGTATAAAATATTCAGCGACTGGTAGAGCAGGGTGATGTAGAATATCTCTCAGCTGATGAGAGAGCAGGGTGAAGGGGAGCTCCCTGGAGGCAATTCCCATTCTTCTGGTGTTATTTGGTCATCGGTTTTCCTTCCTCCGCCCCCCTCCGGCACAAGCATTCATGTTGCCCTATGATCCTGCCAGCCCAAGCACAAAAATCAAGGGTGGGGGGAGGGAAAGAAATCCAGTTTCCACCAGGCATTCGGGAAGGAGGGTGTCTGGCTTGCGGTAGGTGCGGCTGTATCAAATGAGGAATCGCTTGCTTGCTTCAGGAGAAGAAGCTAGCCATGGCAGGCAGTGACCAGTGCCAGATTCCAGAAGCCTCTTCTGTCGAGTTGGCTTGGTGAGTCAGCATCGCAACTGGGAGCAGATCCTCAAGTCCTTGCTTCGGCCATAAGGCTCCTCCTCCTCCCTTCCCAGGGGCTGCCTGGGAGGGGGATGCTTTGAGGGGACAGTGTCCCTCATGGACTGCTCCCACCGCAGTCCCCTGCCACCTCTCTCGCATCTCCTAGCTCAGCAGCATCCGCTGCTGGATGCTCTCGCAGACCCTGCAGCAAGAGGTGCCTTCATGGTCAGACCACAGGAGGACGGTTGCTCAGAGGGATGAGGAAATTTCAGCCACAGTGGATTTAGCTTTTTGTGCAGCCATCGTGGTGGTCCCCATGGTGCACAGTGATTGCTAACGCTGTAGCTCCCCATCTTGTGAGCCAGTGACTGTGCTGATGGGGAAAGCACTTGGGTCAAAGAGTTCCTTGCTCACAGGGGTACCTACATAAAA